AAAAACACCAATAATGAAAACTTTATCACTGATATAGATTGCAATAAATTCAAGGCTCTGCTTTTAATTGTGCTTGAGATGCTCTTGGAGTCTTACTTTTGTTTTCTTACAAATACTTATTATTTGTATTTATTGCTTGGAACGTCATGGTTATGCTACACGCGATCATTTTCTATATCTTGAACATGCACTTGGATGATTATTGAACGTGCATGGATGTGGTTTGGTTTCATCTTTATAGTCTCACGGATACTTTACTCTCAGGTGCCTGGCTGATGAAACTTCTGTTCTCTTACTTTATTCACTTGTCCAAGGGAATTCTGACTTTCTAGAGTATGTCCTGGTCAGGACAGATCTTGATACTCTGGTATGAATAAGCAGTTACATATATTTTTCATTAGGATGTCACTTTATTCCCTTTTCTTCCTTGCATGATAAGGGAAGCTGATGTGTCCTATGTTTCCTTGTCTGTTCCCAGTTGCTAAACATTACATTGATGCTACAAAAGCTTATCATATCTGTCATTCTAATGAATTAACAGTTGATTCCTTTGCTGGAAACACTTTATAATGCTCCAAGAAGGGCACCCAACCAAATCTACATGGTCCTAATCATCCTTCTTATACTCAGTCAAGATTCCTCTTTCAATGCTAGCATACACAAGCTGGTAATTGAACTTCTGTAGACTCTGTAAGTCTGTAATTACTTATTAGAGTGACCATGCAGATCAAGTATTTTTTTTCTCCTGCAGATGCTTCATAGTGTCCCATGGTACAAAGAGCGTGCTCTTCATCAAACATCTCTAGGTTCTCTCATGGTTATAATTCTTACAAGAATTATCCACTATAATCTATCAAAACTGCGGGTATGAAACTAGAAGAGCATTCTGTTGGCTCATTTCTTCTGTTTCCCTCAATTATAGATAGAGAAATAGGAAAATCAGCTCTCCAGTTATACACATCATTGCTTTTCCTCCCTATCTCGTTAGAGTCTGAAAATACCAATGGTCCATGGTTAATACTTAATACTTGAACAAGTGGATGTAATTTTTTAGAAGTTGAGAAACTCCATAGTATGCATACGATATGAGGAATGGAATTAAAAAAAATACAATTTGGACACTGACAAGTAACAACGAATCTCAAAAATAAATTTCTATCTTACTGTACATAAACACATCACATCACAAATTCACAATTTTAAAACCAGCCTACACATTCCATCAAAACATGGTCATGTGATCCAACGATTCATTGACTTGTCATTGACTCTTTTATGTAGTGGATTTGACCCTGTGAGTTAGGGTTAGCCATTTTAATGTGATGTATACCCCTTGTAAGTTACACAGATATCTTGCTCACATTCAAATCGCAATATTCTGCTGACCTGGAAATTGCATCTGATATCAGACTAACAATCGAGGGATGAAAAACACTTGATGGATTTGACTCATATAATTGGATGACAGTTCCGATATTCCCTTATATATATTGGATTGTGTCTATAAATGCGCATAATTTCGTGTGGTGAAAGTTGAAACCTATTTCTTTTAAGCACTACTGCAATTTCATGTATTTTGTTTTAGTACTTGCCAATGGTTGGTGTTGCCCTTTTATACTGTAAGAAATGAAACCAATGAAGCATATAGCATCAGAGACTTATCTCAACCACCGCATCCTAAAATGTATCAAATTGAAACAGGATGTTTTTCTCCATACCAATTGCCTGGCGACATTGGCAAATATGGCACCACATGTCCATCGCCTTAGTGCCTATGCATCACAGCGATTAGTTAGCCTTTTTGATATCCTTTCGCGCAAGTATGTGTTTTACTACTCTGCATCTGATTGAGTTTTAACAGCCATTCAATTGCTCATTAAATATTGTTTTAATATTATCGGATATTAGGTACAACAAATTAGCTGAGATGAAAAATGATAAGATGGGTTTTTCCAATGATGAACCTTTGGGCGAAAACCTATCAGAAGACAGTGTATGCCACCGTTCCACCTTGCTTACTAAATATTTTAGTTAAAAATAGATATCCACCTTGATTACCAATTGCTGAATTGCTTTCCTTCGTCATGTCAGCCCAAAATGTTGCCCTTATAGTGTGGATTTAATTGTTGCAGTCAGCTGAGCTGCATATGTACACTGACTTCATGAGGATTGTTTTGGAAATAATGAATGCAATCCTAACTTATGCACTACCTCGTAACCCTGAGGTACCATTATCTCGTTCATATTTTATTATATGTGGAGTCTGATATCATACACGTCAAGTATCAAATTATGAATTTTCTCTGTTGTTTTTCTGCATCTGGCAGGTTGTGTATGCAATTTTGCACAGACAGGAGCTTTTCTATCCTTTTAAAAGTCATCCACGGTTTAACGAGCTGCTTGACAACCTTTTTATGGTATGCATTCAATCAGGATTGACGGATTGTGCTATTATGTGAAGAGCTAAATTTTGGCTATCGAGTGCAAGAAGATTTTTTTTTGCATATGATGGCCAGTTGGAGTTTTTTTCAAAAATATTATTAAAATGAAACTTGTTTACAAAAATATTACTAACAGTTACTATATTATAGGCTCATAGTCATTGAAGTCTAAAAATTGAACATAAGGTATTATGACTAAGTTACTATTAGAGTCTATATATTTAGGAGGTCACGTTTTTATAAACAACATTTATTTTAGTCATATATACTACGGTATGTAATTTTTTCTTCTTCTTACACATATTATTATTATTATTATTAATTTGCCAACATTTAGTGGACATCAATGTGTGCCTCACAGCCTCATCTGTTTATCGTCGTCCAAATGTGTAGGTCTTAGACTTCTTTAACAGCCGAATGGATTCCCAAAAAATGGATGGTGAATGGTCTGTGGAGAAAGTACTTCAAATCATTATTGTGAATTGCAGATCTTGGAGAGGTGAAGGGATGAAGGTAATTGCAGCTGATGCTTATACAGTAGTTTATTGTAGTAGTCTCAAATTTTGGAACATCTACTCAGAGATTCTTATAGGGAAAACATATTTTTCTTCTTTGGGATAGATGTTTTCACAAACACGTTTTACCTATGAGCAAGAGAGTCACCCAGAGGAGTTCTTCATACCATATGTCTGGCAGTTGGTTCTGTCTCAAAGGTGCGACCGGTGTAGAAAATCACCTCTTTCAATTAATACTTCAAAACTTTCCGAACGACTTCTGTTCCTTCATTATTCTTGATAAATGCTGTTATACGTTCCTTTGATGGGGCTAATGCATCTTCTCATCTTATATTTTCCATTTTTTCCCGGGCTGATGTTGGCTGCAGTGGTTTGGATTTTTCTCCTAGCAGCATAAATCTTTTTCATGTTGACTTACCTGTGGAAGTAAGTGTTTTTTTTAATATATTTCACTTTATTTTACTTTTCACAGTCGTTAACTGTTGTTTATCGCTCTTTGATATCATTGGTTGTATATATCACAGAGGCTGTCTTGCTTGAAACAGGATGATGGTTTTACTGGTTCAGATACAGACAAGGTACAAAATGGCGATTCAAACGGAAATACGCAGATTGGAATCTGGGTTGACTGATGAGCTCCCTTAAGTTGGTCAGTTGTATATATGGATATATATATGTATACGCATATACACATGTGTGTATATACATACATCTTAGATATATGTGTATTCTTCTCATTAGTGTTTATAGGTCAAGAGTGTGTAGGTGCTCAAGTATACAGAGTATTTAAACTTTTGGAGGTTTTTGTTTTACGAAGTGTATAATGGAGGGTGTTGGTATAGTTTTACCTTTGCCTTTTTGAGGCTTTTAAATTATATCCTTGCAGATAGAGATGCCAATAACTACCGTCTTTTTGCGCCCGCCCATATCCACCAAATAGGTGATCGTAGGCTCGTAGCTTTGTTGCATCCATGCCATTTCATCAACTCTTGTATTAACCAATATCACAAGTTGGGTTCATGGATGACAAGTTTGGCTTATGTTTGTTACTTGCATAGTTACATAGCACCAATTTGATATGGGAAAACTGCGTTGACTAATTAGGTATACGGTGGGAAACAATGATTATTTTATTTCTTAAATGTGATTATCCGCATCATTAATCCTCTCAATATCCTTTAGCAGTTTAGCTATTTATTTTGTATGCTGGTAGTTGTTAAATTAATGTATAGGCGTGTTTGGAATTGATTCTGCTTCTGCTTCGTTTTCAAAGTAGAAGCAGAATTAGAATCAGTTTTCAGAAGCTGGTACCCTCCAGCTTCTAAAAAACTGATTCTGGGAGTAAATTAGAGTACCAGAAGTGCTTATGGAATTTCACCCAAACACTTCAGCTTCTGTTTCTGCTCCTTGAAGGAGCAGAATCAGTTTTGAGAATCAGATCCAAACACCCCCTATACCTAGTGCTGGACTCGGGCCGGGCGGCCCGGCCCGGAACCGGCCCGGCCCGGAACCGGCCCGGCCCGGTTACTGTTTGGCCCGGCCCGGCCCGGGGCCTGGTGGGTCCCTCGGTTCGGTTCGGCCCGGCCCGGCTGCTGGGCGGTTCGGGCCCGGGCCCAGGTTTTGGTGAACCGGCCCGGCCGGTTCGGGCCCGGTCCGGGCCGGATTTTAATTTTTTTTTTTTGAATTTTTTTAAGTTTTAGGTTGGATTAGGAATTTTGGGCCATTTGAGGTGGTTTGGGATGGTTTGGGGTTGAGGGGGAGGGGTAGGGGATTAAATAGGAGAACAAAAAAAAAAATTATTGGGCCGGTTCGGCCCGGCCCGGTTTGGCCCGGAACCGGCCACCGGCGGTTCGGGCTCGGGCCTCCCTTTCCTGGCCCGAGGCCCGGCCGGGCCCAGGCCCGAACCGGCCCGAGTCCAGGCATACCTATACCTGGTTAGGGGTGGGTTAGGTCTAGGTCCATATATACATTTATCCAGAACTATACAAGAATATATGGGATTTTGGTTGTTTTGTCTGTTTGATACGTGGCCGGGTTTGGATTAGAATATTGCAATTAGGTAATTGGATCATAAATAAATGATGAAATAATGACATGAATCAACTAAATGCTTTGTAGTTAAAGTAATCACTTACTAGGTAGCATTCACCAAATGCGTTTTATATACTAACTATATTCCAATGTTAATTTTGTCAGCACAAACAAGAGCACCATAGCATACATATCAACATATGTATACATCTGAACAAACAACAAAAACAGAAAAGTCTAAACTAAATTATCTTATCCTGGAGAGCATGGAACGACTGGTTTAGTTAGCTAGAACACCAGCAAGGAATCTTTGATGTCATACCCCATCTTCTCCAAGTTGGGATTAACAGCAAATTGAATCATCTGTGGTGGCCCACATACTAACGCTAGTGTAGTAGGAGATGCTGCCGGAATATGCTCCCTTAGAACACTCTCATTGATGTATCCGGTGCTGTACTTCCAGCCTTCCTTTATAGACTCTTTAACAACATACCACACTTTAACCCTTTCAGGATATTTCTCCGCCCATGCATCAAGCTCATCTTTCAACAAAATATCATCCTCCGTCCGATTAGCATACACCACGTGCATCTGCGTTTCGTCTTCCCGGTTGTTCAAGACCGCCTGCATGACTTGGTAGATCGGAGTTATTCCCGTACCGCCAGCGATCAATGAGAGTTTCTTTGCGAACTTGGGTTTCCCATGTACAAGAAATCCACCCTTCCCCTTGTACTCAATGTGTCCTACTGGGCCTTTCACGTGGAGAGACGATCCGAGTTTGAGCGACTCGAGATGTTGGGACATCTCGCCGCCATTTGGGAACCTCGGATGTACCCCTTTAAAGTAAATTTTCACGAGCAAGTCGAAGTATCCGACTTGGTTGGCTTTGCTTGTAGGTGTATACGCCCGCATGCAGAGCTTACCGTCTACGGTAGCACACAAGAAGATGTGCTTGCCCACTGGTAACCCGAGAGCTTGGTCATCCCATGGGAGTGAGAACCTGAGTAAAGAGACATTTACAAAGTTAAAAAAACAGAACGAAGTATGTTTATTTTGCAAATAGAACTTATTAAGTCCTACTAAAAGAACCCGAGTAAAGAGAAATTAGTCTTATTTATGAACTTTAGCTTTGTTTTAGTTCTATTTAAGATATTTTCTAGTACTATAAAAAAATCAAACAATACACGCAGCTAATCTTGTCACTAGCTGCTAGATGTCATCATATTATAGCACGTGACTCGTGATAATTAAGTGATAACTTATCAACTTAGTAAAATGATTAATTACAATTTACACATGATTTTCTTAAATGTACTTAGGGTACTTCTTTAGTTCAATATTTGAAGTATCAAAATGCATCAATACTGCACTTAATTAAGCCTAGACTGAAAGAATAAAAAGTTTGATTGAGAATAATGGTCCTACCTGAATAACCTCACGTCATGGGAAATGGATTCCTTGTGAATGAGTTTGCATGGGATCTTCTCCTGTATGCTTCTGGCCACCCCGACAGAGTTTTCCTTGATCAGAGCTAAATCGACAGAGGAGTCGTTGGGTGTGGAGGAAGAAGGGGAGGAATCCGAAGTAGAGTCGCAGAGGTCGTCGTCGGGAGTGATGACGACCTCCCCAATCCTATAGTCTTCTAAGAGCTTCTTGGCATTATCAGAGTGGATGGCATGGAAATCGTCAGTGCAGTCGGCGCCGGAGTTGATGAGGATGGTGTCGGCGCCACCGGGGTGGTCGCGAAGGAAGCAGGTGCAGTCGTAGACGTGGCTGCCGATGATGATCCAGGCGGAGTCGGGGGTGTTGTGCTTCTTCACCTCGGACATGGGGAAAGTCGCAGCCTTCACGGCCGGCGCCGCGGTGTTCATGAAGGGGGAGGAGACACTCTTCTTGATGGCCGGGGAAGAAATGTGAAGATGCCGTCTTTCCTTATCCATCCATCCTCCGGACGGGTTCCCGGGCTGGGTTGGGTGCTCAAACACAATCCCAAGCTCTCCTTTGCCTGAATTGCAAGTCCTGGTCTTCACTCGAAACCAACAGTTGTTCATCATTCCCTGTTTTTTATGCATAATGTAATTGATCAATTTGCATATTTTAAGGTTAACGTAAATTTTTGATAATTAAATCAGCTTTATTAATTAACATTTAAATGCTCATAAACTACATTATATTGAAATGTCCTAGAAAATTGTAAAATCTAAATTAAAATATAATTAAAATTGATATCCTAAATAGGTAGAATCTGCAAATCATTTTAAGACAGAAGAGTACTCCGTATGAAACAACTAATACAACCATTATTTTTTAGAGTATATTGCCTTTTTACTTTTTTAGTGTTTATTCTCACCGTTTCCTTCCTTGTTACCCTCTAAAAGTGTTGGCGCTATAAAGTGGAAGTCACATATTCCAGGCTCCCGCCTTGCACAACTAAGTCCATATGTTACATTGTGAATAAAACTTTACGGAGTATTAACTTTGAAGAGTTGGTATTTCAAAAATCACTTTATAACACGTACTAAAGTAAATTAAATACTACTCCGTGTCTCCGTAGTACTTTACTTTATTTCGAACTATCTATTATTAAGACGCTAATTTATTATAAATTTAGTAAATTTATAATCTTAAGTATAGGTTGCGCGAGATTTTAGAGACGGTGAAAGACAAACTATAAATATAATTAGGAGATGGATGACGAAACTAAATGGAACTAACTTGTAAAAGTGTAAATTATTATTATTATTATTATTATTATTATTACTATTACTATATATTATTATTATTATTATTATTATTAATGTACAAATGTTTAAGTAATTTTCTAACTTAACTACCTTAGGATTCTATACATACATGTAATTAGATACGAAAAATTCTCTAATATATATACATGTCAAAAAAATCAAAATAAGATGCTACTCCGTAAGTTTTATCTGCTAAATAGGTAATGGTCTTCTTTAAAAAAAAGTAATGGTCTAAAATATGACAGAAACATATGTAATGCTTTAAAATATATGATTATTATTATTAATGTACAAATGTTTAAGTAATTTTCTAACTTAACTACCTTAGGATTCTATACATACATGTAATTAGATACGAAAAATTCTCTAATATATATACATGTCAAAAAAATCAAAATAAGATACTACTCCGTAAGTTTTATCTGCTAAATAGGTAATGGTCTTCTTTAAAAAAAAGTAATGGTCTAAAATATGACAGAAACATATGTAATGCTTTAAAATATATGATTAAGTATATTTTCTTCTAAAGAATAGGACTTACTAATTAGTTCCAATTAAAAGAATAAAAAGATTCAAATCTTTCCAAAAAAAAGAGTGCAATAAATCGGTTAAGGATATTTTCTTTTGGACTGTTTTCAGTCCCAGACCAAACCAGACCAGACTTAAACAGACCAGACCAGACCAGACTTAAACAGACCAGACCAGACCAGACCAGACTTAAACAGACCAGATCAGACCAGACCAGACTTCCGTAGTTATAAAATACACAAAGACCAGACGTTTACCAGACCAGACCAGACCAGTTCAGACCAGACCAGACCAGACCAGACTTAAACAGACCAGACCAGACCTGACCAGCAAATTTCAGTCCAAAAGAAAACATCCTAAATCCTATTTTGAGAAGAAAATAAGTGTACTTTTGAAAGAAAAAATACTCCTACGGAGTATATTTTATTAGGGAGTATTACTTAAAAAATTATACGTAGTATATTTCAAAAACAAAAAAATACCATGAGATTCCAAATGAGATTTTGAGGTTGGGTATTGTGAGTCTCATCCCAAGCTCGAACAGCAAAATCCTTGGCGGCCAACAAGTGGAGGAGGTCGACTTGGAGAGACCAAAAACACCAGCACCAGTACTTCCCATACTTATTCCCCTTCTCCAAACGTTCCAACTCGCACACCCGCCACGTCTCTCCGCCATCCATCGTCACCTCCACCCGTGTCACTTTCTTTCCTCCGCCTGCATGCAAAGTGCATGGGGCTGTGAATATAATTACCCTTTAAGAGTTATCAATTTGTGAAAATTCTCACTTGTATCAGAATTGAAGTAACACTGGCTTAAGAAGGTCATTGGTTTCTTTAATTGGACAAGGATAACATTAAAAGTGGTTACAAAAAAAATTAGCAAGCCCCTAGGCCCTAGCTATTAATTTACGAAAACTCTATTGTTACACATTTTTCATACACGTTAGTACACACTCATGTTTGTGTAGGATTTTTTGTTGTCTGTATACGGACATAACGTATTTTCAAATACGTTATGTCTGTATACAGACAACAACAAAACCTACACAAACATGAGTGTGTATTAGCGTGTATGAAAGTGTGTACCTCAAGCTTAATTCATTAATTTTACATACACAAATTTTTAGGGTATGAAGTACATCACATGAAGAAAATAGTCACCAAACTATTGGTACCTCTACCTGGCCTCTTCCCCACACCCTCTACCTGGCCTCTTACATTCAATATAAAAACTAATGTAACAAAATACGAAGTATATTTTTTGAATATCTATTTTCAGAATAAAAAATGGTATGATTGATTGGAACTCTTGAAGAAGTGTTTGGATCTCCTAAATGATTCCAGAGACAAAATAATGCGAACGTTCTTTCAGGAAGAAAAAAAAGGTGTAATTTGTTTTCAAATTATATTACTACGTATATACAAAGAATATTATATGTTGCGACTCTTCAGAGTTTGGAGAGGTGAACCCTTTTGGCACCAAGGACAAACTATATGATTTATATCCACATTTTGTTTCCTCTTTTGGTAGGGGCTTATCTCATTCTTGGATTCGTTTCCATCATCTCATTCAATTCTTCCCCATCCATTATTATATTTGAAGGAAATTTCATGAGCATTGAAAGTGTAGGTCACTTGAAAAGACTTCTCTATTTAAATATTTAATTTAATTTGCATTTGCATGGTTGTCAAGGATAATAAAAACCGTGGGGATTAAAAATTAAACCTGTAAACCAAATAAATTTTTCTTCTTATTACATACAAAACAAACAAACGTCATTTTAGAAGAAACGAATAAGCGCCGGGACAATCAAGGGTCTTTAATTATTTGCATTATACCCGTTCCAAAAAGATTGATCAATTTGATTACTGGTGTTAAAGTTTAGAAAATGATTCGGAAATTGTCCTAAATAGGACTAATGAGTTCCTAAAAAGCACAAATAGGACTACTACTTTTTAAATTCCCTAAATAGGACTAAACATTGATTTTCTACCCTAAATACCCCTAAGAGTATTAATTCATAATGAAATGCTTTAATTCATAATAAAATCATAAAAAAACGTAAAAAATATTTAAAAAACGTAAAAAAAATTATAAAAAATTTATAAAACATTTATAAAATAAAAAATTTAATTTTTATTTTTTTAATTTTTTTTAAAAAATAATAAAAAATAGTAAAAACCCATAAAAAAATGAAAAAAATTAGGATACATTTCCCACCGCCATCCGCCGCCTCCCAGCACCACCACCTCCGATTGGTGAAATTTCTTCCACTTTTGGTAAAAAAATGCCATCTTTTTCTGAAAATGCCAAAAAGATGGCATAATTACTCTTCAATATGCCAACATTTTCATTGAATATGCCATCATTATGGCATTATTTAAAATGTTGGAATATTTTTCTCCGATGATGGAAGCTGGTGGTGCTGGGGGGTGGCAGGGGTGGTAATGTTTTTTTTTTTAATTTTACGATTTTTTTTATTCTTTTTATTTTTTTTTTAAAAAATATTTTTTTTTAATTTTTTTAAAAAATATTTTTATTAATTTTCTATTATCTTTTTACGATTTTTAGTATTTTTTTCGATTTTTATTATTTTTGTATGATTTTATTATTAATTAAAACATTTCACAAGTTACAAGGGTATATTTGGCCACACACACATAAATAGTCCTATTAAGGGAATTTAAAAAATGTAGTCCTATTTGTGCAATTTTGCCACTTTTTAGTCCTATTTAGGGAATTGACTCAAAATGATTTTATGAATATACTCATAAATTGTATGCTTTTATGAAAGATTGTAAATTACTTGTGTGTAATTTATAAATTGTATGCTTTTATGAAAGATTTTTCAATAAAGAATATACTCATATAAATTTTATATTTTGAATAACTTTGTATTAAAAAATATCATTGGTCAAATTTTTTACTATTATTATTAATCAAGAAAAATCAATTTGACCAATCTTTTGGGAGTATTTACCTAATATAACTAGGCATGCATATATGTACCCGAATAAGCGTAGCCTCTGAGCGTGTAAGGATGTACCCCGTGTTGGGTAGTCCAAGCGTTGATGGGCAAGATCTCTTCATGAGAAGGCGTCGTAATGACAGAATTGATGTTCAGCTCGTTGATTATGTATTCTTCCTTGTACCACCATGCTGATAAAACAGGCAATATATTCAGACATTCCATTTCACACCAACATATACTACCTCCGTTCTTAAATAAATGCAACGCTTTGACTTTTACACTATTCACATGTTCTACTTTGACTACGTTTTATTTATTAATGTAATAATATTATTTTATGAAAAATATATTGTTAAACTTGTCTCATTGTAAATTTTCATAATCTAATTTTTTAAATTTTTTTACTAATACAAAATCATTTATATTAATGGTCAAAGTTGTGTCTCGGCAAGTGTGAAATGTTGACCGTTGCATTTATTTAAAAACGTAACGGAGGAAGTATATCTTAACATGCATCACCGTATAATTAAGTTATGTTAGATAAGATGTACGATCATTTCTGCAAAATATGCACTTGTAAAACCATAATTACATAAACAAAATCAAAATAATTGAAGTCACACCGGTAAAATATAAAGTAATAAAGTGTTATATTAAAATAATAAGATACTACTCCTATTAGATAGACCTTTATTGAAACTCAGATCTTAACATGACATGAGAGCCAAACTAATCTATAATCATGGTGTGAGACCCTTATGGAAAATGAAGACACGATCATATATAACTATGTCTGATATTGGTTTTTCTCAAACATGATGTATTGTGTTCCGATAGCCAATTTGCTATACCCACTTTGCAAAACCCATATTTTTTATGCACGTGAGGTGAAACTGTGCAAAATTCCGTCTGAATTCAATTCAAGATTGATAGTTTTCCATCATTCAGGTTATATATCGATACATTTATCTTTCGGGTCCCGGATTGATAAATGGATAAAATTCCATATTTTTCAGATCATAAATGGATAAAATTCCATATTTTTCTGCTACCATGCCATGCCATTCTTGTACAAAAATGTTCTATACTTTTTATGTGATAGACATTTTTTTTTTATTTACGCACTTTGGTTATGCATATAATGGTGTGTCTGATCTGAGTGTTGAACACTACTTAGCTAACCGAATCAAAGTATATAAGAAAATATATAACACTGGACAAATTTTCCTAAATAAGACTAAAATAAGGACAAAATTCATAAATAGAACTATTATTATTTTATTATCAAACTATGACTCATTCATACGAGTATTAAAAAACTAGGACTCATTCAATAAACAAGTCATATTGGTCCATGTTTCATATTCTGAGCAACTTTTTATGATTAACAACGACGTTCAAGGAACCTCTTTATATGTTTTTTTGTGGAAGTTTGAATCAGATAGCCTAATAAACAATTTGAAGTAATTTTTCCAAGCATTGCAAGTGACAAAAAAGAGTGCATATTTTAAATTCTTAAATCGTGAGTTTGAGTACATTTGCCCCCTTATTTGGTTTTAAGGCTAAGGTTTAGGACCTTTAGGTTAGCTTATCAATCCTTAGCTTTTAGGGTTTAGGCGAGTTGACGTTTATAGGGTTTATCAGCCAGAATGTTGGGGTGGCTGGCTGGCTGCCCAAAGGAACTGCCGCTAGCTGCCGGTGGCTGTCAGGCAGTGAGGGGGGTGGGTTGGCGGTTGTTTTCTCAAGGTGGAAGCTGTATTGGACATATATCCCTTTTTTTTTTAAGTAAAAGGACATATATCCTTGTTGATCCACTGCCATCTGTTTAGTCTTATTTTGAATATTTAAAAGATACTTCCCATAAAATAGTTCTCGCATTGACTGGAATCGTAGTTTAAGAAAGTGGAAATGTATAATTGTGGTTGAGTAAGAAAAAGATAAATGAACGTGAGTCACACAAAATTTTCCAAAAAGAGAAATAAGAACTATTTTTTGAGACGATCCAAAAAGGAAACTGGATACTATTTTGCGGGACGGAAGGAGTATACACTACTCTTATTTTGTACATTTTCATTGTTTTACTACTTTTGAAATTAATAAATTAAAATTTATTTTGCCTAAATTCAGAAATACGCAGTTAAAAAGAAACTAATGAAATTGCTCTTACATTATACAAAAATTTAGGGGCAATTTGAGTTTGCACCCCATATTATTTTTCAAATTGGACTTTGCACCCCATTTTTAGAAAACTTTGTTTTTTTCACCCCAATGCCATATGAAAAGACAAAAATGCCCTCGATCAGAAATATGTTGAAGGCAACATATTTGTTAATGGAGGGCATTTTTGTCTTTTCAAATGAGATTAGGGTGCAAAAACAAAGGTTTTTAGAAACGGGGTGCAAAGTCCAATTTGAACAATAAAATGGGGTGCAAACTCAAATTATCCCAAAAATTTACTACTAAAATATTTACTTCTTTTATAATATGACTTGCATGTTTTTTCAAATGTTATACGAGTATAATAGTTATCCATGCTAGCCGTAGCCACTACGTATTTTGTTAACCACACCAGTAAAAAAATGTCATTTTTATCCATTTCATCCTTGCATTTTGAATAAAAGCTAATTATTTATAAATAAAATAGGAATGTTTTTACTTGAATATCATAAGCCAGATCAAATCACATAGTCACCAGATCATACCAAACTTTAAAAACCTAGGTCAAATCAAACTAGACTAGCTAGACCGAATACACCAGAAAATTTAATCTAATTAAGGACTTCTATTCTCAACTTCCTTCAAAAAGAACTTTTATTCTCAACTTACCGGTCTTATATATGAGTATGTTAACAAATGAGTAACTTTTAATTTTGTCCACTTCATTTGCTGAATATGTTAAAGAGTTAATTATCAAAACAGGACTAAAAGTCATTCACTTTGCACAAATAGGACCAAAAAATAAACTATGTTTCCATAGGACTAATTATGTGTGTCTTGGACAAATATACCCTTATACCTATTGGAATGTTTTAATTCATAATAAAATAATAAAAAATAATAAAAATCCGTAAAATATACCAAAAAATTAATAAAAATAATTTGAATAATAATAAATTTTAAAAAAAAATTAAAAAAAAATAAAAAAAATTCAAAAAAATTAAAAAAAAATCAAAATTTTTTTTGTCACCGCCGCCTCTGCCGCCCCAGCACCACCACCTCTAGTCATTTGGGGAAAAAATGCCAAATTTATTATGAATTCCATATTTTTGGCATAATTCAGAATGATTTAAGATGGAAGAAAAAAATGTTGGCATTGCCAAAGAGAAATATGCCATATTTTTGGCATTTTCCGAAAAAAATGGAAATTTGTAGGAAATATGGCATTTTTTTAACGGTCGGAGGTGGTGGTGCAGGGAGGCGGTACCACCACCTCCTGTCACCGGGGTAAAAAAATGCCAAAAAAAGTATGAATGCCATATTTTTGGCAAAAGTCAAAAGGATTCAAGTTGGCAGAATGAAAATGTTGGCATTCTCATAGAGAAATATGCCATTTTTGTGGAATTTAAAAAAAAGTGACATTTTTTACACCGATCGGAGGTGGTGGTTCAGAGAGGTAGTACACGCGGTGGGAAAGGTATAAATATTTTTTTTAATTTTTTTTTTATGGATTTTTACTATTTTTTATTAATTTTCAAAAAAAAATCAAAAAAAATTTCCTTATTTTTTATTTTATAAAAATTTTATTAATTTTTTTATTATTTTTATACGAATTATTGAAATTTTTTCGAATTTATTATGAATTAAACATTTAATTATGACTTTTAGCTATCTTTTACTAATATTTAAAGGAGGGGTAAGAATGGAAGGAAGAAATGAGTATGTTTCCAATAGGACCACTATGGTCTTATTTTGGAATAAAAAACATAGCAAGTCCTATTTTGAGTTTTTGCCATAGTTTTAGTCCTATTTGAAGTAATTTCTAATACTTAAAATTTCTTATCATCCTAATGAGAATATTCGGTTCGACAGCTCACCATATGTATTCCATGCCCCCTTACCCATATCTCGCTTGCCCATTAACATCTCGGAAATATTCCGCCATAGTTAGGGTTTGCTATTGATTTATTACTATTTATTACCAATGTTTGCGTTACTCAAGCCGACATTCTCGCTTCCGCTTCGACTATTTTATCAGGCAAGTACCTTGTGATCTGATGACATCATCACTATGACACTCCCAAGAAAGAGGTCACATGTTTGAATCTCATCCCAGTTCAAGAATGTTGGTCGTAACACAACAGATATTATAATATGTTAGAAAGATTTGCCAAGAAATGACTATTTTAACAATTTTCCATATTATTATTTTTCTATTTCATTATTAAAATAATTTTTGAATGTAATATTTTCATAATTCAACATATTCATTCGTTTAACCGCTTCAGCCAAAGTTACACCAATTTCACCAGAATCAATTAGTCATCCAATTTAAATGTTACCATAGCCCTAGTTTTCGCTCCATGTGTGTGTTATACGTTTTCTTCGTTTTTTAAGGCAGTGAGGGTGTTAATGTAATTTCAACAGGTGTTGTCGACGTGTATATATAGTTGGGTACCTTCAGCGTTAGCCAGCTCAGCATCGACGTGAGACGGAAGGACCTTATTGTCCCTGTAATGATAATAACTCTCCGATTCGTTAGTCGTCACTATTATCCTCTTCAGCCACTTCACCATCCTGCCGCCGATGAACCCCGGAATTATCATCCTCACCGGAAACCCATGGTCCGGCGTCAACCTCTCTCCGTTTTGCATGTACGCCAGTACGATGTCTCTAGAAGGGTCCATCGCTATTTCCCTCCTAATGCTCGTCCCGTACTTCGACCCTCCGCCGCCGCCGGGCAGATCCTCTGCCCCTTCGAAGCACACATTCAGGCCGCCGTTCCTCCGGCTGAGCAAGCCGCAGCGCTTGAGGACGGAAACCAGCGGAACCCCCCGCCAGACGGAGGTGGAGACGGCGGCGGCGCCCCAGTTGAAGCCGTTCGTCTTCCTGACCATGTTCTGTTCTTTCCGGCGGTTCCCGGCGCAAACCAGGGTGGCGGGAAACTCGCGGTATGGGAATTCGTTGACGAGTTGGGCCATAGTGAACTTCATGGGCCGTTTCACGAGGCCCGTTACCTCGACGGCCCAATCTTCCCACGTGCCGGTGGGGACCGCGCCGTGATTCCGGACGTAGTGGAGGGGAACCGGGGTGATGAAGCCGTGGCGCATTAGCCGGTCCAGGGGCGGTTCGGAGTTGAACGGGTGCTTCCCGGTCAACCGGATCAGGGACGGGTTACGCGGGATCCAACGGTCGGAAGTATCGGCGTCTCTGATGTCATGAACCGACGGCTCTAATTCCGCGGAATAGTCGGCGTTGGGAGGTTTTTCGTTACAGCAATCGCCGTCGCTGTCGGAGGAATAATAATCACCGGAAACTACGTCGGCGCCGCCGTTAGGTGGCGGGAGGTCAGGATTGGTGGGGAAATTGCAACCTCGGATCGGGGAGTTGCAAACATTTTGTAGGACAGGATCGAAGCGGCTGAAGCGGGGGTTTTGGACGGAAGCCGCCATGGTTGGATGACGGTGGTTAAAAGGCGGAGGCCGGAGAAAAAAGGGTACAGAAGAAGAGAGGCTTTTGACCTCTCCGAGATGGAAACAACACTTCGATATGATGTCGCTTCTCTAGTACCCGAGTATGAGCTTTTTTATAACAATTGATGTAAAATTCGAGTATAGTTATACACTCCAAAAGTTTTTTTTGCTGCTTAATTCATAGAATTAACATTCAGCGGGGTACAAAAGCAAACAAGAACCACATGTAACCATACGCTCGTGGCCGAGATTGAGAATTAACCACTTGTAACAAAGCAGCATAACTCACTCGACCAAAATTGGGCAACTTAAAGCCAATGACAGTTACCGCAAACTTTCCCTCTCCTAAACTTAATGCAAGAGTCTTATAAGAATTAAAAACACAAAAGGGAAGCAAAACAAAGCATCCGAAATAAAAACAAACAAAACAGACAAAAAAGATAACACCATCACTTGTCTTCTGCACCATCACCACCATATGGAACCTCGGCGGGTCTAAGAGATTTGACCCGCCACCTCCCCATTTTTTGGCCCATCCAAGGCCATTGCTTCACCAGTGGTACCCTATATGGCATGATTCTCCCATATCCTTCTGCGCTTTATGTCTCCAAGAGTCTCTTATTTGTCTTCTGTCTCGTGTTGTGATGGCCTGCTATCCTTGGATTCAGCCGAAGACTCTCCCCCGAGATCAGCCTTCCGCTGAACACCATATCCACCTGAGCTCGAGGCTCCATCAGATAACCCCTTGTTGGGTCTTGGGGGCTTATCTTCACCCTCCCTCCTGCTCTAAGTTCCACCCCATAGGTTTTCTCAACTACAAATCCCTCTTCATACTTCAATAGACAGAATTTATCAAAATGTCCGATTATAACACACATAAAACAAAAGCTGGGTAGCTTTTCATATTTAAAATCCACTGAATGTTTCACCCCATCTCTTGTCAAAGTGGTACCTTTTTTCAGAGGCTGGCGAACATCCAGACACACTCTTATACGCAAATAAGAACTCTGTTTTCCATCAAACTGGCTCATCTCAAATTTAATAAAGGAGCCTAAAAAATTACCAATTTTTCTGGTAGATCTCAAATTTCTAAACTTTATAGATGCATTATGAACCTGTACCCAGAAACTAGCTTCAAATAAATTCATCGATTCAGGTATATCATCTGGTTAACCTGCTTTTAACAATATTAACTCACGCTAAAAAAGCCCAGGGTCATCCTCAATCACACGATTCATATCCAAAACATGATTAAAGTTTAGCAGATACCCTCGTTCGCCGATTTCTTCGATAGACATACCTTTCACTGGTCTCCAGAGAGAAGTCATCGGCTCTTGAAAGTCCGGTAATTTGACCTTGCGTTTCTTCTCCTCCACCCAACCACCACCCCAACCACCGGAAAGCTCATCGGTTCCTTCTCCTCCTCGTCGTTCTCTTCCTCTTCTTCATCGAAATTTAGCTCGTTCTCCTGTTCCTCCATTGACATCTTCTTGTACGAGTTGACCATATCATCCATGAATCCAGATAATCGGATTGATTCCTCTACTCCGACCTGGCGACCTGAATTTACTCTGCCTGCACCTTCTTCTTCGGCGAAGAAGAACTACCGATCTTCGTTGAGGCAACAAAATCGGAAAAAAAAACCTAGCGGTCGAGCCCTAGAGAGAGAATAATAATACACACCAAAAGTTATTATATCACATTTTACTCACTAGTTTTGTTTTGGTTATTTTGGAACTTTTTGTTGTTAGATTGATGACATGAAAAGATATTGGCACGTATTCAATTAACTCTGTTCAAAAAAAAAATCTCTGAAAGAATTTGTAATTGACAACATTTCTTCACTCTTACACATTTCTCTCTTCTCTATACGACTGTCTACAACATAGTTCTCACTTCTCACATTCTCAATCTCCGTGTAAAACCATATTCGAAAGATAATTTAGGGACAAAGGTAGTATTATTAGAAAGATATTATTAGATTGAAAATTGATATAATTTCGGCCTAGGATCGGACGCAATCAGATCGGATTATTTCATGTTTGACTTGATTGGTATTAGACTGTATTAGGGTTTTTTATTAAAAAAATATATATATTTTTGAAAATCTTTCTTGAATAAACATTCAATTACATTAGTTTTCATATTTGTTAGATAATAATACATTTTAGATATAAAAATATATTTAAAAATTAACTACAGTCTAATCGATGCGGACATAAATATTCAATATATGAACTGGATAGGACCACAACTAAAAATTGGCTAAAGGGTCAAATAGGCCCTTGAACTAACTTAAAGTGTTCAATTAGTCCCTTATATAGGAGGTTCTGCCCGTCCGTCTCTAATTGGAGCAGTTCCCGGTGGAATTTTTTGATGAAATTTTTTGAGCATCTTCTTCATTAAGTCTAGTTACTCATACCAAATTTCAGCTAAAAATTCAACCGGGAAAGCAGTCAAATGATTTTTTGACTTAAAAATTCAAAAAGCTTGAACCGGAATATGCTCACCCGGCCCCTAACTACATAGCGTGTTTCATAAAGGCCATCGATCACATATTTTTTTATCGTGTTTAATACTTCCTCCGTTCTTTTTTAGTTGCAACGGTCAACATTTCACACTTGTCAACGCACGTCTTTGATCGTAATTATATCTTAATATCTATTTGTAAAAATTATTTAAAAATTAGATTTTGAAAATTTGTAATGAGATGAATTGAACAATATTTTTTTAAAAAAATAATTTTCATAAAATAATAATATAAAATGTAGTCAAAGTAGAACATGTGAATAGTGCAAAATTCAACATGTTGCGATTAAAATGAGGAGGATAGTATGATCAATACGGTATATTAGTTTCGTAATTTGTTAATTTTGTTTTGATCACAAACTTCTAAGTTCTTATTTTATTTTGACCACGAACTCTCCAAGTACCGGGAATAGAGTTTCACTCTCTATCTGTCAGATTATTCCAATTTACATTCTCTCATTGTGCCATCTCGGCGGTGTTGGGGGCACTCAGGGATGGAATGTCATCCTTTTTTTTGTGATATATGTGACCAAATTAAGGACTCGGCCTAACAAATAAATTCCATTTTTGGTGTCTTTTCTTTTTTATCCAACCAGACATAAAAATGGGATTAAGTAGGTTTTGGTCGCTATCAATTGATCCATTTATACTTTTTGCCTGAGTTCTGCATGTCCACAATAAAAGTGAAATGCATTTTTTAAATTCATTTTGAAAGAGTGAAAGAAAATTGTACGGAGTACATAATTTCTTTTACAAAGAAAAAGAAGTTGTTGCAGAATTAACATTATATATATTTTTTTAATTAGGCATTTTTGACTTTTTCAGTAAAAGATTCTAGATTTTGACCTATAATATATTTACATACGAAAGTATTTATAATAAGCAAATAATATGAAAATCATCTTTATTAAAAAACTATCATAGAAGTAAAAATTTATAATTTTCACTAAAAAATACTCCGCAGTGTTAAGACTTGGGGTTCCATTCTAAAAGGTCAACCTTGATAGGAGGAGTAGCCCGTTTGTTAACATAGCACTTTGTTCATCTAAACGATTCCGGTGTGGGACATTTAACACCCCTCCTTACGACCAGACACTTCGTCTGGATCATGCAATCATTAATTTTTTTCATCGGTCCGTTTTTTTCATCCGGCCGTTTTTATAATCGTGTCATCGTTTTTCCTAAGGGGCCCCACACCATGTTAAGACTTGGGGTTCCATTCTAAAAGGTCAACCTTGATAGGATGAGTAGTTCGTGTGTTAATATAGCACTTTGTAGCTCAACTGGTAGCGAGGGAGTGCCACAAGAGTTAGGTCCTGGGTTCGAATGAATCGAATCCCGGCAACTGCGATGAGAGGTTATTATGCTAAAAATGTCCCACACCGGAATCGTTTGGATGAACAAAGTGCTATATTAACACACGGGCTACTCCTATCAAGGTTGACCTTTTAGAATGGAGCCTCAAGTCTTAACACGCAGTTATTTAAATGATTGATTAAAATGTACGTATAATCATTGATTAGAAAAATCAAAGATGATTAACTAAAAAGGCTGGGATAAACCTAGGTGGCACATGTTATCATTTCTTGAATAATTAAATGGATGCATAAATTGACCAACTTAATTACACTTATATACTGTAATACTGCAACAACAACAAAAAAAAACTTGGCTGAGGAAAATTTGCTGCCGCTGGTTTGCCAAAAGCGTAGAATTGGCAGGATTATAGACTTACACCGATTTAATTAGGTTATTCGGGCTAGCTTGGGGCTTATATTAAACTGTACTTCATCGACCATTGTTTAATCAACCTTGCTATAGGTACCCCATTTTGTACCCCAATTTGTACCACAACCTATTTGTATGGCTCACAAAAGCCCACTTCAATAAATGAATTGCTTTTGTGAGCCACAAAAATAGGGTGGGGGTACAAATTGGAGTACCTCTAGCATTTTTGTTGTTTAATTTAATAAATAAAACTAATAAACTACACTGAATTAAAAATAAAAGCAATTTCATGCCAATAGAATCTTTGAAGAAAAAACATCACATAAATAACGGACAGAGCTGAGGATGAGAAGACATATATATGCTGAAGCAACATGAAACTATTTTCCAGTGTACGTATATATAAAAATGGTTTTCTGATCCTTTCATTTCAATTCTTACTTGTTAGATTTCTAATTCTTTTCAATTTTTTTCTAACAGCGTCCATTTCAATTAGTCAATCACAATAATATTTTCTTATGTACATAAAATATTTTACTTCTAATATGATTTTTTTATTATGACATGTGTGAGACATTACCTATTTTGATCATTATTATTCATTTTATCATTTTTGGCGCCATATTATCGATCTTTTGTCACTTAAAGCCCTCCTGGACACTATCCGAGTCAATTTTTCTACAATCTCCTGTTGGTTTTGACCCTGAATTTGACTAAAAAGGCTAAGGTTATGATCGCGGAACAAAAATGTAGAAATTGTAGCAACATTTATGTCTTACAATTAAGTTTGTGAGATATGACATATTCGTTTCTTGTATTTATGTATAACTAGCATATGATGAGTATATTTTTACATTAAAGAATACATGAGGGACCAAATAGGTTCTTTTGAC